TGATATTGAATGGTTTGCCTTGGAAATGAACAGAGATCATCCTGTCATTTCTGAGATTGCATCCAAGTACTGCATTTCGGACTCTTTTGTTGACTGTGATGGCTACTCCATTTCTTCTAAGGGATTCCTGCCCACAGTAGTAGATATAATGGTCATCCGAGTTAAATTCACCCATCCCAGTCCATTTTAGTTTGCTGATTCCTAGAATGTCGATGTTTACTCTTGCCATCTTCTTGTTGACCTCTTCCAATTTGCGTTGATTGATGGACCTAACATTCCAGGTTCCTGATGCAATATTGCTCTTTACAGCATCGGACCTTGCTTCTATCACCAGTCACATCCACCACTGGGTGTTGTTTTCGCTTTGGCTCCGTCCCTTCATTCTTTCTGGAGTTAGTTCTCCACTGATCTCCAGTAGCATAGTGGGCACCTACCGACCTGGGGAGCTCCTCTTTCATTATCCTATCATTTTGCCTTCCCATACTGTTTATGGAGTTCTCAAGGCAAGAAATGTTAGTTTCCATCAATTAACATCTGAAAATGTTAGTTTCCACCAATTACACAATCCTGGGATAGTACTAGAAATACCAAACTTGGCTATTCATAAACAATGAGTTTCCTGAGGGCAGGAAAGGTCCTCTTGGTATGCTATAAAATCCAGTAAATGCCCCAACTTTTCCTCAATGGGAACCATACAGTGATAATTACTATTTATAATAGCTATCTAGATAACAATTTTTTGATGAGAAATAGACAGCTTAAGAGTGAGAAATGAAATTACTATAACCCTAAGTGTAAGAGACAGGCAAGGGGTCATTTAAAAAAAAAAAAAAAACACAAATACTCACAACTTAGTTTAATTAGTTCAGTATCGGTACTATCTTGCTTCTGGAATTTGACAATAAAAATAACAGGGCACTAAAAATAATCGGTATCCTAGTTAGCATACCAATAATAAGGCAGTATTCTTATCTGCAATGTAGATATGAGTATGCATAAAGGAAATGAAAATCCTTCAGCTGAGTCTTACAACACTCATGTGGAAAACAGCAGCAGAATCTAAAAGTTTTCATGTGGTTTAAAAAGTTTTTTAAGAGTTTACAGAGCACAGTCCATACAGAACCTGTCTCTAGCGGCCTGGCCCAGTTCTGGGGGGTTTAATGGGAACAGCACAAAATCAGAAGTCGTAAGATCTGAATGTGAAGCCAGGCTCTATAACTTATTAGCTATTTGATTAAAGGCAAATCACTCATGCTATTCTCAAAGAAAAGTGGGGATGACATCACTCTGTGTACCTTTCCCATGGAAAAGATGCACTGGAACTGATAATTCACTGGTATAACCTTCCCCTCTAAACTGGAAACTCCTTGAAGGCAGGAGTCATGTCTTACTGAATTCATCATTCTCACTACTTAAACTAACATAGTGCCTTAAAGACAAGAGGCATTCAGAAATGATGAAATGATGGATTGTTTAAATACCATCCTACCAACCTAACAGAAATATAGGAAGAATTAAACCAGAAATACTCAACAAAGCCAAGTTTATCACCATCAGTGTTTATATGAAGAAATAAAAGCTATGTTTATCTTAACTTTCAGTGATTCAAGTCTTGAAAGAATAACTAAACTTCAGAAGATATATAACCAGGAGCCAAAAATATGATCAGAAATAAAGAGCTAGAATCAATAAGATTAATTTAATACAAACAAACATAAGGTCTCAGATTGATGTTTAATAATACATGCCAATAAACGAGAGGGTGTATGTGGGAAATGATGAGGGTATATGGGATGAGGATACATGAGAAAAAACAATGAAGGTATATGGGAACAATACACGCCAATAAACAATGAGAGTACAAGGAATAATACATGCCAATAAATGATGAGGGTATACACTAACAACTGGCACTGATACATTCTAGGAAGGTTTCAGTTAATTTACCTAAAGACAATGTGTTGAAATCTACTTTTAAGCTGTGTTAGGGAATTCCCTGGCGCTCCCCATATGGCGCTCCACATGTGGTTAGGACTCCACATTCTCACTGCCATAGGCCAGGGTTCGAACCCTGGTCAGGGAACTAAGATCCTGTGAGCCGCGCAGCACAACCATAAAAAGAGCCTTATATACAGACACAAAATCATAATAAAGGAACAAGATTGAGTAATTTTTTAAAAAAAGATTATGCTGAATACAAGAAAATTATTCACTATGGTTAATTTATGTTAATGTATAGCAGAAACCAGGCTTCGCTGGTGGCTCAGATGGTAAAGAATCCTCCTGCAATGCGGGAGACCTGGGTTTGATCCCTGGGTTGGGAAGCTCCCCTGGAGGAGGGCATGGTAACCCACTCCAGTATTCTTGCCTGGAGAATCCCATGGACAGGGGAGCCTGACGGGCTACAGTCCATGGGGTCGCAAAGACCCAGACACGACTGAGCAACTATGCACACATAGCAGAAACCAACACAATACTGTAAAGCAATTATCCTCCAATTAAAAATGAATACATGTTTTCAAAAAAAGGAACATTATCCAGACAAGGGGTAAGGGAGCAGCACAGCAAGAGAAAGAAGCAGAGATTCCAAAATGAAAACAGATAAAGAAAATGACGCAAATGTTGATTCTCAAGGACAATAGGAAAGAGAACATTCTCGTGCCAGAAGCAAGCAATCACATGCATGCTAGAGTGTAAAACAGGGCACAAGTTTCAAGAATTCTAGAAAAACATGGAAGAGAAATTATACTTAATAGTTTTCAATATTCTAAAAAATGTACAGGGAGAAAAATCAGCCTTTTAATTTCATTTTTGTCCTCTTTTTCTCCGGTGGGGCTTTATTCCGGAAGGTAACAACACTTTGGAAAAAATTCTAAGTCAGAATATAGAAAAATATTTCTTAATTTCTTTAAAAAAAAAATAGGTTTCACATAATGATTACTTTTAGCCTCTCTAGGCACTTTAATTCAAGTTGGCTGCCCTACTTAGAATGTCTTTTGCAACAACTAGCATCTTCCCACCAGTCCTCTAGCTCTAAATCCAGTACCTTCTCTATTTCTTTCCCATGGAGCAGCTCACAAGTGCGAGTTCACAGTGCCAAAGCATTCTTTGAACTTCTGAAGTGAAATAACCTCTTGATCTCTGCAACACCATAGCACCATTATGTATATTTTTTATAATACTTAGGAAGTTCCATTGTATTCAGTAATTTGTATACAAGTTTCATCTCTTGAACCAGATTATAAGGTTTTGGAGGCTAAAACTGTCTTATCTTGGTAGACTCCACAGTAGCTAGCACAGTCGTACTTGGAAGGAAAAAACATAAGAAGAATGGGGGAAGGGAAAAAAAAAGGGAAAGAAATATAAGGTCCAAAATATAGTAGAAGGCAGGTAAGTACAGAGTTACCCCCTCAAGGGCGGGGGGACATTTGTGGGTCTATTTGTGGTTTCAAATGTCCAAAAGATGTACAAATAGTGCTGACATGCCCCCTAGGGTCCCTAGGAATTCAGCCTCAGGTTACTAGGAACTCAAAATAAGAAACATAAACTTATAACTATTTATGAATATAGGCAGCAAAGAAAGGATAAGAGATTGGGGAACTGACTAAGATTTAAGGTAGAAATCTCTATCCATAAGAAACACAAACATTTCAAAAGTCCTAAAATGGGTGGTAAAACCAAAGAAATGGATTATTCGATTAACAGACTGCATCAATGGATTCTGCATAACTCTTTTCAAAAAGCTAGGGAAAAATAATGTGTTTTGAGTATCACTTTGATTCTTCTTCCTGGAATTAAAATAATTTCTCATCTGTGAATCCAAAATCTATGTTTTCTCCAGACATAAAAATACTTACCATCTTCCTCAGGCAACTCTTCCGGACTAAGTTCTACCAATTCAAAGCCATGTTTGATACACCACTCTTGAGCTTTCTGTCGGTTTACACCTAAAATAACATGCAAAAGATTCTTCAGAAGCAAAAAAAAAAAAAAAAAAAAACACAAACATGAATATTGCTGCAACACTCTCCACAATCTCAAAGTGTTAACCTTTAATGTCAATGTTATTCTAAAGGCATCCAAAATAAATAAATAAAAAGATGATTTTTCAAACCCCAAGTGTCCATTCTTAAAAAATAAAATGTAAATACTGCAAGGTTCTAAAGAGAAAAAGCTGAAGATATTTTTCTAAGGCAGTAAAATCATACAAGACATCCTGCCCTGAGCTAAGGAGACCAATGTTTTATTTACCAAGAATGGCTGACTTGGGTACCACCTACTGGTGTGCCTTACCGTTCTCAGATACTCTATCGCAAACCAAGATCATCACCTCAGGTAACCATGACTCTGCCAGAGGAAGCCAGGAGGAAACACTATCAAGACCAGATTTCTAGAGGGATAAAAAAATATACAAACAAAAACAGAAAAAGAGACATTAAGAGAACTCACAGAAAATGCAAAGGGGAAAGAAAAAGCACAAAGTAATTTCTTATTCAAGGTCCAAGGAAAACAAACTCTTACTTGTGTGCTGTCAAAGTAAACCACAAACGCTTGGACAGACTCCGCAATCTCTGCGGTGACGAGAGATTTGTCTGGCACCACACACAGACTGATATCTGCTGAGTAGTATTTATTATCTATGGTCCAGGGATAAAACCTCACAGCATCGTTGGCAGTCACTTCCACAACAACATCTTCTGTTCCAAGAATATCTAAATAAATGGCACAACATTACCATGGAAAGTGCAAAATCAATATACACTGGTCAAGCTTCTCAGTAAAATACCATATTAAAAAGGCATCTACTTCCGCTGCTTCTTTTTACGCAAGGATTTTGAAGTTTTCAAAGGGTATCCCATTTATTATGCTATTTTCTTCTTTGATAATTTGACTGTTAAGAGTGACATAATTTAATTCAATTAATTGGCATTTTTCTTTAAGAATATAAAAACTAGGGAATTCCCTGAAGGTCCAGTGGTTAGGACCCTATGCTTCCAATGCAGGGGGCATGGGTTCAATCCCTGGTCAGGGAGTTAAGATACTACATGCCATATGGCACAGCCAAAAAGAGAATATGAAAACTACTGTGACTAGATTAGACAATACTAGAGCACAAAACAGTCATCTAACAAAACACCTACTAAAGAGCGTGTGGAAGAGAAAAAATAAGTTACATTTATTTTATTGCTTACGTACTTTCTGGAAGCTCAAAGACTAAGAAAAGTCAAGAATATTTAACTATTCTGTACTTACTACAAGCTAAAAGGAAGATGGCAGCAAGGCTAACCTTTAACAAGATGGAAGGGCTACACACAGTCCCTAGGCCAAATGCTGACACATTAATTCAACTAATAAAATAAAAGAATGGATACTGATAAATGACCCCATTCCATTTATATTCAGCCTTGTTCAGATTCTTTGAAAGCCAATTCAAATTCTTGTTGACAAAGACACTTTTGGCAAATTTTAATATAAAAGAGCCAAGAAAATTAAATGATTTAGGAGAGAACCAAATCTTTCAGAAATTCATGTGTAGTAAGGGTATAACTTTTAAAATTCTTAGAGTAAAAGCCAAGTCAATGATGAACGAATATAGCTGTAGTCATTGGACCATCAGGGAGCCTTTTGCTTCTATAAAGTCATACAATATTTAGAATTGGAAGAGACATCAGAAACTGTTCTAACCCAAACTCCCATCTCTCATATCCCAAACCACAATCATCATTTTACACAGATGTAGAAAATAAACTTAAGAGATCTAAAATGACATGCCACTAACTGGGTTATTATAAGAATACAGAGCAAAATGGCCACAAACTCTTTTTTAATACATACTAAGATGAACATATATATGGGCCAGTGGTAAAAAATCTGCATGAAATGCAGGAAGCAGAGGTTTGATTCCTGGGTCAGGAAAATCCCCTGGAGAAAGAAATGGCAACCCACTCTAGTATTCGTGCCCGGAAAATTCCAAGGACAGAGGAGCCTGGCAGGCTATATAGTCCATGGGGCCGCAAAAAGAGTTGGATATGACTTAGTGACTAAAACAACAACAAGGTGAACATACAAAATATTCCTCAATGTTTATAATAGCCAGGACATGGAAGCAACCCAGATGCCCATCAGCAGACGAATGGATGAGGAAGCTGTGGTACATATACACCATGGAATATTACTCAGCCATTAAAAAGAATTCATTTGAATCAGTTCTAATGAGATGGATGAAACTGGAGCCCATTATACAGAGCGAAGTAAGCCAGAAAGATAAAGACC